AGGCACCGGCAAAGACTCTGCATCAACCGCACGCAAGAAAACGGCCGAATCCGACGAGACTGAAGAAAGAGGAATGTCAAGTCGCATGGAGTACTTTAAAAACCTGCTCATGCGCCACCCAGACTTCATGGACAAGCTTCGCGTGATGTTATCTTTAATCATCTAAGTTATTCTTGGATTCAGAGCTAACTTGACAACAATACCAACTGGATTTGGGTCATTTTCTACGCTCTAATAAGAGTGTTTTGCTCATGCCTGAAGGCTCGTTTCGGGCCAATGGTGCTTGTTTTTTATGAAAGCGTGGGATTTTGATAATGTTACCACGTAAACAGAGATGACACTTGCTGTATGGATTTGCTGTGGGTGATTCAACTCGCAATCAGCAATGGAGAGTCTCCACTGAAGTTCCAATTAATCATGCCTCTCCATCACATTTTCTAGTGAATCATATACCGGTAATGCGATTTCTCCATTACAGTATGGGACTTTTAGGCTCATAATGGGTCATTCATTTAATGAAGTACCTCGAATTTCCATCATCAACACAAACAGTATTTTCTCGTGGCCTGCTAAAAAGTCGGATCAAAAGTGCATTGGCTTGGTATTATCTATGTGTTCTTGAGCGTTTGCTAGCAATCTCCCGTTACCTTACATCTGGATCTTACTGAGATACTGCACCAGACACAAATTGTTGTGCAGCAACTTCTGCAAGTGTTGCCACTGCTGCTGCTGCACGGCTCCCAGTTCGTCCACCCGCGCCAGCAATGTCGAGTCCGCGACCAACAGCTCTTCGTGCAGCTTCAGAAACCCGGTTCAGGTATGCCTGGATCACCTGAAAAGTTACGACGTGTCTGCATCTCCTCACGTAGGAAATCCAGGAACCAACCGAGCAGCTTCTTCCCCTCCTCGCCAAAGTCTCCCATGCACAGATGACGCGCCTTGGCTAGCAGAGGGCACGCGGATCGGGCTTGAGTCGACTTGGACGTGTGTAGCGGCCTTGGCTGGCAGAGGGTCGCTTGTGTGGGTCGACTTGAGCTTGAGTTGGAAGATTTGAAAGTGAATTAAATTATGGATGAGCGGCAAGGCTCTCTCTGTTTAAACTACTGCTACGTTCAAACATTCAAACTGTTCAAACGTTTGAAATGTTCTTCTTCTCGAGAAACTTGTTGCACCTTCTCGAGTTCTTATCCTTGTCCTTCGCCACAGGATTCATCCATATCAGGCAGGCAGTCATGTCATACTCCCCCCATGAACCTGTGCGGTTTAACAAGGAAAGATGCGGCGGATGCTGACTTGCTGCGTCGTTGCACCTTTGTCGATGGTGACCGTGCCGTTGGTGTGCACTAGCTTGATGGTATACGGGCCGTGTGCAACAGCTCGCGTCTTGGATCGAAAAGCTTTCGGGATCCGAAGCATGACATTGTCTCCTGGATTGTAGAAGTGCTCGATGCGCTTGTCGTTCTCGCGATCGTTGTCAGCGAGGATCGCCTCGAACCTTCTCTTGGACAGATAGCTCCAGTTCGCTTGATGCAATTGGCGAGATATCATGTCTTGGCCGAAGACGAGTTGTCCGGGTGACGCATTCAGAATACTGTGGTAACTGGCACGCACTGCAAATGCCGCGTAGTTTAACGCCTTCTTCCAGTCCACATTCTCGTAGCACCGAACGATATTTAGTAGCTCCAAATGAACTCGTTCGCAGATGGCATTGGCTTGTGGGTTCTTAACGGTAATGGGCTTCGCCGTGATACCGTAGCTCAGCAAGAGCTCTTGAAATTCTTTTCCAGTAAACTCTGGGCCTTGGTCGTGGATTACTTGTTTTGGACGAGGGTACCGGCAGAGCCATTGACGGTCGTAGCTCTCAGCTGTCGTTAGCGCCTCCTTGTTGGGCTGGACGGCGACTTCGAGCCAGCGTGTGGCGTGGTCGATCATTGTGATGCCATAACCACCGTCGTCGTAAGGACCAATTAGGTCAACGTGTACCACATCCCATGGATTCGCTGTCTTCAACGTTCGTGGGGGCAATAGTCCGTAGTCCTGCTTGCCACCGTGTACTTTTGCACGCTTGCACACAAGACACTTCTTGACGAACGCTGTGATAAAGGCCTCCATACCGGGCCAGTAGAGAGCTTGATGCATCGTCTTGAATTGACGCTCATGGCCAGGATGTCCGAGGTTCTGATGATACCAGCTTACGAGATCCTCGCGCAGCGATTCAGGAATAACAACTCGCTTCTGATACGCGACCAGTGAACAACCAAGAAGAGGCATGAGCTTGTAGTCAGGATTGTTGGTTCCGGCAAGACATGCAGACTTGATCGTCTGAATTGTTTCATCTTTCTCTTGATGATCTCGGATGACTGGGCCGTGCATTACGCACTCAGGCTCGTCAGTCGCAGCGTAGATCTCTTCGTCAAGCGTCTGCTGTTGGTTAGAGTCAAACTGCATACGTGAGAACGCGTCAGCACCGATGTTCTTGGAACCCTGGATGTAGTGTAGTTTGAGTCGGTACTCAGAAAGAAGTAGCTTCCAGCGCTTCACGCGCAAATTCGTCTCTGTCGGGTAGATTAAATTTTTGTGATCGGTGTGGACCACGACCGCGAAGCCAAGTAACATAGTTCGATACTCGCGAAGCAGAGACACGATGGACAACAATTCCAGTTCCATCGTTGTGTAGTTGATCTGGTACTTGT